CAGAGAAATACGCCTTTCCTTTGGATGAATTGTAATGTAAATATGTGGAGGCAGGCATTATACCAAACAAGGGTCTGGTATACGTCGCATTGTTCGTTATTGGCGCAATTGTTGATCACGTGCGTAGGGCAGCATTTTACATAATTTTCATGAAATAAGCAGGTCTCTTGTAAATTACAGTACATGGGAACTGCAAGAAAATCCTGCGATCGCATACTTTCAGACACAACCTTGTTAATTTAATTTCTTCATTATCATTAAACGATTTTATCTCCTCATATTAACTATTTAGAGCGCATTAATTGCAACTGCAGGACCCCTAAGAGGAGGGCTTCGGAACGGAACGAAAAGCGGAACGAAAAACCAAAACGGAAAGAAATTGCACACTCCAGAAACCGAAATTATTTGGTTCCGTTCCGTTCCTTGACCATCTCTTCCTTTGCAATTGTGTTTTAGGGATATTAACGTATCTTCGCTTTCCCGCGGTTCCATTTGCAAAATTAACATATTATTTTGGGTTTTTTTTTGGGGGGGGGGCTGTCGATTGATTAAAAATGTAATGGGTTATTCGGTCGATTGATCGAACTTTTTATTATAGATCCCTTAGTTCCCTTTGTTCCCAGCACCTAGGTGAGCTTCAGGAAGTGACTCAAGGTGATGCAGTTGCTAACAGCAGTTACTATCCCTGCACATACTAGTTCAACCTACACATGACACATTCCAATTGGAAATTGAATAATTACAACATGGCCAAATTAATAATGGAATTTAAGCAACGAACCCAACCCATCCCGGAAGCATCCCGGAAGGGTATAAAAATGTAACCAACATGTTTGTAGGTACAGGTATATGGTGACTCTACATTATGTGGAGATTTAGAGTTCATTATCGATTCACGGGCAACACAGGATGAAAGAACAGAAAAAGCAAAACATTGTGGAGGATTTCACACTTTCGTTTCCTCTTTTCTCGCCTGCTTCCGGGTTTCCTCCTCCCCAGGTTCCCGTCTTTCCAATCTGCTCTTTCATGCCTCTCCTGTCACGCGTCACTGCCCAAATTCCATATATTCCGTCTGCCGTTTCCTTGCAACTTCTTTATTAAGAATTTATTTTTCCCATTCGCATTCAGCGACTTTTCAATCGCACTTTCCTAGGTGACTGCTACTTTAGCCTGACGCGCGAGGCCTTTCTATGCCATAGACGAGGCGGAAGGACACGAGATGCATGCGAATAGGTCAGGAATAATCATTTTGAAATAGTCTGAAAGTTATGTAATAGTATGAAATACTGTAGTATGAAATAGTCTGAAAGCGATGGCTTTTGCTTTTGAGTGTTCCCATTTCCAAAAAATTGTATTTCATTTCTAGGAAGAGTGAGCAGTGCGACTATGACTAAATTTTAAAGGCCTTTTCTTATTTACCTTTCATTTTCTCGATGAAGCATTCTATTTCGATTGTTTTGCAAAACTATGAACTACACAGTTAAATTATACGGTGGAAAAAAGGCAAAAAGAGGAGATTGGGGTGTCGATTTAGGATTAAATTAGACCAATTTTGTCTCTCTCGATCAATACTTTAATCAATTAATCGATCGATTAATCTAAATGGATTCATAACCCTAGTTTTTTATTAATTCATACGGTTTTCCCCTAAATATTGGAAAGGAACGGAACGCAATGGAACAGAACGGAACAGAAGCCTGAACACACGGGCATCAGGTGGAACGGAACGGAACGCGGAATGTAAAAAGTTCAGTTCTGAAGCCCTGCCTTAGAGCGATCGCACTGTCATCGAGTCCAGACGTTCATCAATCCAGACGAAACCAAGTATACTGAACAAATTAACATAAATATTGAATTTTCAAATTGTAATAATTAAAAACCCTAATGACAGTCACACACGAGTCAATTTTCGAGTCATTGAACCTAATGCGATCCTTGGGCTCAGAAAATCAATGAGGAATTGGCGGGCTTTGGTGTTATTTTACGCTTATGTGGGTAACATTGTATCATAGTAAATTTGTGACGAAGGCGTCGATCATATAGTTTTTAAAAAAATTATATGCAATATACTGTAAGACAGAAAATTCAACTTCACTTCGCCCGACTAAAGTCGCACCCTGCATAAAAGTAGCGGGCACATTTCCCGATCTATTGTGGCGTTTGCTGCCCGAAACGTGCAAAAATTCTTTAAAAAATGTTTAGGAGGAGCACATTAGCAATGTGCGATTTTTCATATTCTGATGCTAACTTGAGGTCACTTTCTCCGCTCCTAGGTTATTATATTATATGATTATTATGCGGTTATTATGTAGTTATTATATCAGTCATTGAATTTCATTGTTTGTGTTCTACCGTCATCAACGGATCAGCTCCGATTATCTCTCTCAATCATTTTGAACGTCTCTCGTTTCCATAGAAGTGGAAGGTTTCCGAATAATTCAGTAATTAAGTTAATGTCTGATTCTTTGCCTAATATGCCGTTTTCTTTTTGGTCTTTGGTAAATATTCCAAATGATGGAATCATACAGATGACATCATCCGATATCAGCTTTCCAGATGGAGCGTACAGAAAATTTGTTCAAATGTCGCACAAATACCATGCAAGCCCTTGGCAGCCTAGAATCTCCGTCGAACCGAGCAGAGCCATTTATTCAATAACGGTGATTCTGACCGTGACACGCGCAGCCATTTCTCCATGGCAGGTATGCGTTTGAATGAGGACCGTGATTATTCAGTTGTGATTGTAGCAGTTGACAATACTCTGAAGGCTATCAATAGGGGATACTCCTGACCGATGGATACCTTTCCTCCCCGATCAACACATTGTACGAGGGTAGTTCAATACTTACCTGCACTTTCTTTTCCAGAAAATAGATAAGATAGGAAAAAGTCTGAAAGTCTGGGGCAGCTAGCCCCAATCTTCAATGTGATCTATGCCATGACCGGCGACCCATGCGCATGCGCAAATTGAGTGAGAATAACATGTCTAGTGGTATATTCTCCAGGGTTAAACACTGTTGTATAATGAAGTTTAACGGGAAAGAGAATGTGAAGGAGGCTGATACCCTTCGAAGATGACAAACACAGTTCGGAGAAGACTGTCTAGAGAGGAGAAGTGTAATAAATTTGCAATAAATGCAATAAATTTCAAGACGGCCAAGAATCCTTGACCGTTCCTTGAACGTGGCCATCCGTCTGAGACTGTTTTGAATCCTGGGAATATCCGGCTAATGTAACATTTGATTCTGGAAAACCGTCACGTCACCGTGCACGATTTTGCAGCGGAACTAAATATCAACACTGTGATCGTCGAAAACATTATCCACACTCCCTTTAAGTTCAAAGAGATTCGTGATAGGTGCCAAGAGAACTGACATTCGAACAGATGGCTAACCGAGTGAGCGTCGCGTCGGACCTTTTCCAATGCTATGAGAAAGAGAAAGACAACATCCTCAACCTCATTTTGATGAGTGATGAAATGTGGATTCATCATTATGAAAACGCTTAAGCTTAAGCATCGCCTAGGCCTTGTCTCATGATGAGACATGTACGTCCACGTAGAAGGGGAATACCTCGAGAAATATGCGTAGTTTGATAGAGATCAGATGTATCATAGATTTTCCGGAATGAAAAGTGCAGGTAAGTATTGAACCACCCTCGTACATGATCTGCGACGCAGACAAGATCCCATCCCATATGTCTGCAACCGTCAGACAATTATTATCTCAGATCTTCACACGATATGAATAACGATTCCAATCTTGGTCATGTATGCTCCTAGTAACAATGATGGTGATTTCATGAACCAACTATCAATGAAGAAACCAACTTTCATTGTTTAACTTGGTACAAATGTATCCATTCGAATAAATTTTCGATAAAGCATCTTGCTTATCCTCCGGAAAATGTTTTTCGACCCGAGGTGGGGGGTGACGTATTACAAGAAACCAAGAAATGACTGCACTTTTGTCTTAATCGCGAGTACGATCTAGGCCAGATGCGAATGAACATTACTTCCAAATAAACATACATTTTTCGTATTTGTATGCAATTCATTTTTGGAAAAGCATTTGCACATAGGTGACGAGATGGGAACGATTTGGCATTTCCAGAAGATCTGCCAGGTGCCAGTGTGTCTGCTATGACGATGAAGACCTTTCGCACTTGTGCAAAATAGCATATGAACATGGGTGTATCTCTCAGCAGGACGATGTGTACCAGCAAAACGGAATCATATTCATTTCATTAACTAAAAAAGACAAGGAACCAAGGGCGTTTTATACAATGTTGCAATTTTTGAGCGAGGGGAGAAAAGGCAAAGTTCAAACATCGATTGTATTGATGAATGAATGAGACCGAAGAATAAATACGTGGCAAAAATCATCTGCAATACTGTCACTGGTCAATATCCTTGCAATTTATAACAATAATTTCCTGGGCGGGAGCTATTGATAATTCTAGAATGCAACAGAATATAAATATGCACTGTGCAGTATGTGAAGAAGACGATGTCCACAAAGCATGTCAATGTCAGCCATAAAATGAAGTCCGCCATTCCAGCATCGAATTTCGTACGCTTTTGTCCTGCGTCTGCAGTAGCAGTTGCTAATGCAAATTCAACTAAAGAAATGTTTTTCTGAATACATTGAATACATTGTAAGGAGTCTCCGATTCAGGGCACGCACATGGGAAAATGCGGTGGAAAACTTATCGTTCCACAAATGCTCATGACATATTCATGGTGAATGTTTTCGGGCAGTCACATATATTTTTTTATTCTCAAAGGGATTGCCGTCATGCGAGGTTTCCAGTTAAGACACAGCGTGACTGGCAACTTCCCGATCATTCATGGAAAAATGATTCAAGATTACTGCGCTGAGCCCGAAGTCCTTGCAAACATTCGATCTTTTGCGTCGTCTGGCGGTCGTTCTTATCTTCTCTGACACTTGCATACTACAGGGACAGGATAAGAGGCCGGATAATATTTTTCTCGATGGTTTTCACGCATTGTCCTTGTGAAAGAAGGTGTTGCAGTCCATTGGCTCCACGACAGCCTCACCGTGCACGGAGATGACTCTCGAGATCGATCTCATAGGCTTTTTTCGCAGGCTGGTCACTGGAACATGCACAGGGAATTAATAAGTAGAATATGGGTGAGACGGGCCTGAAAATTCTGAACTAACAGTAATAGCATTTACATAATTCAAAGTTTTGTTTTATTTTCTGCACTTCCTCCTTTACAGCATTATGATGGTACTAATACACGCTTCCTTCCTTGCTCCACCAATTTCTTAATCCTAGCTAGGAACTAAAATTCAGGGGTAGCTCTCATATCCTGGATTTGTTATTGCGCAAAGACTGTGTTCGAGCCACATTTACTTTTTGCCGCAGATTTCCAATATATAGGAACATTTTATGGTCAAATGGAGCGATACATGTCTAGGATTGCGTAGGTGGAGATATTGGCAGTGGTTACTGGCGAGGCCAAAATGGTCGCAGACATGAAGTCGCAAACAAAAGGGTCGAAGAACAATGTCGTTGTAGACACCGACCGTCGCGTTTGCCTTTGTTATGAGGGTATTTCAGGGTGGGGTAATATATGGTAACGTTCCAACCTTAGGAAGGCACGAGCGGACTTCCTAAATGAGAGTTCTCGATGCCCCAGTCGTGAACCGCAACTTGTGAACTCGCGAATCAGTCATAAAATAACATTTTATGTTCAGCATACGAGAGATTCCACTCAAAACGTCATTCAGGGGTCCAAAAAAGTCATAATCGCTGGGAGCTAAGTCTGGCCAGGAAGGGGGGGGGGGGTTTGCGGTATCGTTTCGACACGCAATACCTGAATTTCTAAGGATTTAACCCCCTCTGCAATCAGAAATCTTATTACACCTCCCATTTCCACTTTTGTACAATCGTTAAGTCGCACCACCATTTCCCATTGCTTCTACTGATATCAAAGTGCATCAAAGCAAACGGCGAGCGTTATCAAGAGTGTCAAATAAAGAGTTCTAATTTTCAAAAAATGTTATTCAACGACTCTCATTAAGGCAATTTTCGCATTGAAGATTAACATTGCCAACATATTATGGTCACTCCGCCCGGACAATAGATCTTTCCAGTATTAAATACTCAAGAGATTACTGTCATATTTCCACTCAATACATACTTTGCAACACGGCAAATTCTTAAGTCGTCATCGTCTCTCTTAGCCATATAATAGGATATCTGCGCCGGTTCACTGAAAGTCAGGGATGCGGCATAGATTGAAACATTAAGTTCGTGGTCCGCACTAAAAAAAAATCAAAAAATTGTGGAATGTTTATTCACGAATTGGACGCTGGAATTCCTGGTGTGGGTTCCTCAAACTAGTAAATCTCATTGAAAAAGAGCAGTAATCGTAAATTACCTCTACCTGCCCGGATCGTTACACACTTTAGCATTTGCTATCGCAAAAAGTGCCACTACTTCGAGCGGAGACTTATTTAAAGCACCGATTTTAGGCGCTGCATTTTTCTATCACTTGTCAGCATATCCTTGCAAGGTGAGATATTTTATTTTTTGAGTATGAATTGCCCAAATGTGGGGTTAGTTCAGCAGGAGCACACTCAAATTTAAATCCATCCTAATCATTTAAAGAATCAGAATATATTGACTAATAATGAACTTCGTAGCCAAGAGCGAAAGATTCCCAGCCTGTAATCATATATTCTTTATTGCTTTTCTTCAAGTGAATACCGGTAGAAGGATCACATTTTAAAAAGTAAAATTGTAACACTTTGTAGTGGGCCGCATTAAAATCTGAACTGGGTCGCAGTTTGAATATCCCTGTATGAAGTGAAGCGTATCACTGCAAGTCGCAACAACTTTGCTAATAGTATATAATGAAGGTTCATGTGCAGATATCTGAAACGCCCATATGCCTGAAATAGACTACAGATCGAATTCTCTAGCAAAACACAACCCGTTTCCTTTCATTAGAAAAAGGAAAGGTGCAGGTTTGTATCTATGCTTCGATACTTTTTCAACGGAAGTATTTTACGATTTAATTTGAAATGTCATATTTTACGTAATATGTGCCACTCTGTACCTTTCTATTTACTTTTGCGATAACGAGATGCCACTCTTGCACAAAAGCTCCTGAAAAAAAAATGGGTTCGCGAAGAGGGGGATATTAATAATGCGACCTCCCTGATAGCAACGCCATGGCGTGTTTGCAAAGGCAAAGAACTGTCATACTTACATTTTGGAGTGTATGTGGCTTCGACCCAGTCGCTATAGGTCTTGAAGGAGCGGAAGTTGGATCTCAGCTTCGCTTTGAGAACCTTCCTCACACTGTCATCTGCATGAACGAATACCAGCTCTTGGCCTCGCTCCGCAAGGTCGGACAAGGTCGCCTCTATCATCTGGTAACGATACGGTAGTTCACGCGTTCGTCCATTGCATTTCCTCGCGTAATCCCATCTCACCTTGCAGGAGGTAAAGTCGATGGAAGTGATCTTCTCGCAGTCAATGATGACCGGGATGTCAAGATTCTTCCCAGACTGCTTGATGAGGGCGTTGCGAACATGTTCCGAAGCTGGGAACATTGTTAGGCCTTTCGGCTTGATAACCAGGTAATCATGACCTTCCAGCTGCAAGAAACCACCAGGTAATAACGGGATTCCGTTTGTATTGGCACATCACAGAATTAGTCGACTCCCTTTACCCTTTTTCTCTTGGAGCTCATTCGATTGATTCTTAATGTATGTTTTCTAAAAATCACTCGTTGCTCATATGCAGACCCTCGGACATTTTCACCGGATCTGGCTTCATTTCCTTGAGAATTTCCAAGCAATTGATTTTACCCAATTTTCTTAAAAGACCCAGTTCGCCTTTGTCATTTATTTCCTAATGCTGTTCAGACTCTCTATTATGACAATTTATTTTCATTAAATATTTCCTTGTATCATTGCGTTCACGAAACCTAAGGAAAATGAATGAGACCCTCGAATCTCTCATACCTGTCTCTTTTGCACGACCACCTTCTGCCGGGCGACTTTGAAGAGCAGCAGGACGAGATCAACCCCCATCCCGACCACGATGCCGTAGGGCAGTCCCAATAGAAGGCTGGGGCAGAATGTGGCCAGCCACGGGATCAACTCCAACCCTGCCAATATATATTGCTGACTCTTTCACTGAGGCGCATTTATATATACGGCCGCTACTCCACTGTGGCAACATTCTAAGTCCATGGTAACATTCGTAACATTGGATTATATTGCTGTGATTCCCAGGTGCAGCTATGAATGCAATGTCGATGCAATCAAACTATTATACCTCATGAAACCCTTGAATGCCAACCGTGATTTTGCTATCATTAGAAAGAAAATAACACGCCCGTTTCAATGATGTATTATAGGTCGGGATTCACGGAGTGGAAAGTGCATTAGTAGGTCATTGATGTCGGTCAAAGTGTTCGAGAAATTGGAAATTTGGCACTAATGCAGCAAGTAAAAATTCATATCTCGTCTGGTCATTCAGTGCCAATCTTGATTTTGGTATCGTCCGAAATGGGATACAATCCGCTTTAAAATGAATTATTGAACAAGCAATAATTGAAGAAAGAATTCCCGAGGTGGCAAGTGTCGATATTGGCCACTGAACTTGATGAAACTGTTTGATATAGTAAAACTTCCTGTTCAGCTTAGGAGGATAATACTTGAAATCACATTAAAGAAGGCAATATCGTGATTAAAATGACACCAAGATGAAGCCTATATCTATGTAGAGGGGAGGTTATTGCAGAAACAGTTTCACAATTCCAGTCCGAATGGGTGCTGGGAGCGAAAATTAGGTTAAATTAAAATGCGTATATCTGTAGATCTGTGGGAAAGAAAAATAATTGGTTGAAATTTGTATTTTTTAAATCGATGTTTCTACACGTATGGCGATTTTCGTCTAAATCCGAGATGGTTGAGCTTTCTCGCAGGTCAATTTGGCGTGGAATGACCCATTAGGTCTTCAAGAATCCAATGAACATAGATTTATTTATCCTATTCACAGCAAAGCTTTGAGGAGGTAAAAAATCCCATCAAAGTCCTTGTTGATGAAGTTCAATGAGATTTTTAAAGATTCTAATTGATTTTTAGCATGTTTTTTTCGCCGGTCATGCACTAGGAGAGTCAATTGCATCACACACTAGAACCCGAACGCAGTTGTTGAGAGCAACTCTCATCCGCAGTTTAATACAATATAGATCTTCCATTTATTGACATCTTGACTTTAGGGTTAGTTAATGTCCGATATCGGAAGTACGTGGATTCATGAAAGAAATTAAACTCACGGTTCACAGTCCAGATCTTCAGGAATTCCTTGTACTCAAACATGAAAATGACTGCGCAGATGATTACGGCCGAGAGACAGGCCTTGGGGATGTAGAAGAAGTATGGCGTCAATATCGCCAAAGCCAGCAGCACCAGGGACCCTGCAGTGTTAGGTTCATTCTGACGTCACTGAATGCTTTAAAATTCGCAAAAGAAAAACAAACCTCAGGTGGCAACTTAGAACATTCGTGGAAGTTACCGATTTACTGGGATGAAAAATTACAAGAACCTCAAACTCACCTGTAACAATTCCTCCAGCTGGAGTCTTCACACCAGACGCGGCATTCACGACTGTTCTGCACATCGACCCACTGACGGGAATGGAGGAGAAAAAGGACCCAGCCAAGTTGCAGAGACCCAGAGCGAAAACCTCCTGGTTGAAGTCGATCGCTCTACCTCGTGCTACGTGACAAATGCATTGACTCCCCATTATACATTTCGTTCCTACCATAACATGATTGCTTTCTTTTAGAGGTTTTCTCAATGTTGCTTCTTTGAGATATTTATGAACTCCGTTTCAAATTTTAAAAATGAATTTAAGAACAGTCTGCATTGGGTCATTTAAACACATCCTCATAACCAGCGTGAGATAAACGTTCTCGAAATAAGACTTCATGCCTCACCGAATGCTTTAGATACGGCAATACTTTCCAGGATCCCCACAAGGGGGACGATGACAATAGCTGGACCCAGCTCCGAGACCTTTTCCAGGAAGTTCGTATCTGTCAGGAACGGCGGAAGGGCGACGGGTGGGACGCCAGGCACCACATTCCCTATTCCGCCGATCAATGAAAACGAATTAGGCCATTTTCCAAAGTGCATTTTTATAGATTCTGCAGGACTTGATTACTACTAGCAATGCATGTACTCTGCGTTGAATTTGAAGTGTCAAATCTTTCCAAGTTTCATATCAATTTGTCTTTTTTATTAGTAACTACTGTTGCTGAAGTATCCAGCGTTGCCCGGGGAAGTGGACTATTTCAATATTTCATGCATGTCAAATTGAGGAACGTTACCATAATGGCTTCCAATAAGTTAACGATATTAGTTGTCGCGAAATGCGTTAGGACCCGTTTGCCTTTTTTAAATTCATTCTTTCTTAAACCTTTTTAATAATTTCAAAATAATTTTGGAGTTAAAAAAAACTTCTTGGTCAAATGTGTTTATCCTTTTCAAACATATTTTCGATTAAACTTGATCAAAAGAATATTACTTACTATCTACTGTGGCGATCCAGCATTGGGATTACCCGGGGGTACTGAGAAGCAGGTGGCCAGGAGGGGAGAGTTGAATGGCATGAAAGGACGGAAAAAAGGCAGGAGACGCCCGGGAATCGAACCCAGCTCTCCTGATCGCGGGTGAGGTGTGCTAGCAATGCACCACCGAATCTGGGCGTCAGTTGTACCTCTTAATCCCATCCCTGACACTAAACAACTCCGGAAAAGTATCCCGGGAGTGGACATTTTGGATCGAAACGTAGCCCTTGACATTACCCTGGATAAAAGAGGAGGCCATGCAAAGTTTGGTTGCACTGGCTCCAACGGGGTCCGAATGCATTAAGAAACAGACAGACAAATAAACTTTTTAGTTTACACAGGCAGTCCTCGACATACAGTACGACGCGACTTACAGGAATCAATTGTGCCGAAAGTGGGAGGACTGCCTGTATATATAGATACTAGCGAGTTTGTTTGCCCTTCGGGCAAACAAACTCGTTATAGTCGCGCCTTCGGCGCCCCATCACCTTGAATATATATTAATTTATTTATTCTTTGCGAAATATGAAACACGTATTTTAAGTACTCCCTATTGAAATATATGACATATTGGAACGAATGTCTTGTTTTTTTTCATCAAAATCATTATTCTTATGATTGCAAGTGTGTCTAACTTGAAATATTTTCATGTGTCCCATATTGTAACGGTGGGGAATACATTTTGAAATACTTCCCTCCCATAATCTACGCTAAGTGGACATATTTCAAATGTAGGATTTTTCCTTTACTCAGCAATCAAACAGGTACTTCTGAGGGAAGTTTAAATTATCCGTCTTTGTTTCGTTGGATAAAAAAAAATTCAGGAAAATGGGACTGAAAAAAGTGCCCTGATGTGTTTTAACGAAAATTGTATTTATTCTGAAATGTAGACTCAGGGAACTCCATGCCACGCAGTTTCAGCCTTATACGTTTCCTCTTTTTGCAGGGGGAAAAATGTTTATGGAGAAGCCACACACCTAAAAGCTGTGCTCTGAGGAGACGCGCATCAAAAGTTGAATTTTTCCTTAATTTGACATCACGTCCGTTAAGCGTGCGTCAGATGTTACTTTTATACTTATGCCCGATTCTCTAGGATATGAAAATTTCTTTGAAAACATAACGTCCCCAAGAAATATCCCCCCCACCAAAAAAATTCCAACATATTGGAAATTTGACATTTTCCCGAGCTCAGTGCGTCAGCAATCACGATCATGCCAGGTTTCAGCTTTCCATGTGTCTCCATTTGATTGAAGCAAAGATAATTATTTTGAAATATGTTCGCCTATGGAATGTATTACCAAAATATAATTTTTCCTGAACTCAGCATGCGAATAGTGACTTCTCAGTCAGCTACTCAAGATCGTCTATCTAATATATATAGACGATCGTGATATATAGACGATCGTGACTGACTGACTGACTGACGCTAATTCTAACCATGTTCTAGAAGGGTTAGAAATCTGAAAATTGGTACACATGTACCTTTTGGGATGCAGAATTCAGAAAAAATCCGACTTTGGAGATACATGCCCTGGGGGTACAAATTTTGGGGGGAAACGTTTTTCATGAATATTTTTTTTGTGACAGATGAGGATGGCATTCAGAAAGCTACCTGGATGTGCTGGGTTCTGTGGCGTAGTCGCAGCATATCTGACTGGCAGTCAGAAGGTCTAGGTGCAATTCCTGGCCATACCTTGGCTCTCTTTTGCTTTTTTTTGCCTTCCATGTCCTGTTACACAATCCCCCTCCATAACATCATTTTTGCTTGAGTAGAACCCCTTTCCGCGCTTCCGAGCGCTTTTCCAAATATATTTTTTCGGCCAGCAAAAAGGGGAAACGTATTGGACTGAAACTGGTGGCAGGGAGTTCCCTGAGTCTACATTTCAAAAGAAAAAAAAATTATTTAACACCCATTAGTGCACTTTTTTCAGTCTCATTATCCTGATTTTTCTTGATCCAACGAAACAGAGATAGGAAATGTAAACTACCCTTAGAAGTACCTGTTTGATGGCTGAGTAAAGAAAAAAGCATAATTTTGAAACATGTCTCCTTAGCGTAGATTATTGGAGGGAGTTTTTTCAAAATGTATTCTCCACCCTTTCAAAAAGGGACACAATAAAAAATTACAAGTAAGGCACACAGAGTCATAGAGGTAATGATTTTTATTTTTAAAAAATCGAGACATTCGACCCCATATGTCACGCATTTCAATGGGACGTGCTTTAAATACGTGTTTCCCATTTCGCAAAAAATGAATTAATTAATCACTATCCAAGGTAAGGGAGCGCCAAAGGTGCGACCATAGCGAGTTTGTTTGCCCGAAGGGCAAACAAACTCGCTTTGGTCGCTATTGCATACTCGCTAGTATATAATGAAAGTATAATTTGTCCTTTACACAGCTATCCATCAGGTTCTTCATTTCCAATTATAAAGTTTCTAGCACCCTCTGTTTCGCTGGATGGAGAAAATAAGCCTTTTGGAAAATATGTGCCTTAAGGCGTTTTAACCGAAAAGTACATTTTTTCATTATTACCGAAATCAGTCCTCAGAGAACTACATGCCCAGAATGTTTCAACCTTACACGTTTTCCCTTTTCGCTGGTGGAAAAACTTGCTTGGAAAAGTCAACCCACCCAAAAGCTATTCCCGTAGGGGGTGCACCATGAAAGTTGAATACTCCCTCAACTCAATAATATTATGTCAATTATACGTGTGCCAAGTTTCACCTTTCCTTTTCTGTCCAATTCGTCTAGACAAAATTGCTTTTTCAAACATCTCCCGCGAAAAAATTCCCTTGGGTATGTATCTAGACTTAACATTTTACTTTAACTCCTTGTCTCAGTAGTCACATTCAAGCAAAGTTTCTGTTTTCTATGTTCATTAGTTTAATTATTGCAAAAAATATTTTAAAATATCTCCCTTTGAAATTTGTGCCCCTGGGGCATTTACTTGCAAAGTCTGAATTTTTCCGCATGCAGCATCCCAATAGGTAGTTATGTACCAAGTTTCACCTTTCCACAACAGCCCAATAAGGCAGGGGAAAAAATACATGAAAACGTAGGCCCTGAAGAATATGCTCCCACACGGCATAGAACTTACATTTTACATTTTTCCTGAACTCATCGTTTTGGTAGCTCGTCCATGCCAGATTTCAGCTTTCCATGACCAAGTTTTAGTAAAGAAAAAAGTTATATTATGGAGGGGAATGAGTACCGGGACATGGAAGGTAAAATAAGCCAGAAGAAACCAGTGGAATGGCCGGGAATCGAACTCAGACCTGATTGCCGGTCAGATATGTTATTACTACATCACCGAACCCAGGACATTCATATAGCTTTCTGAATGCCATCCTCATCTGTCACAATATATATTCAAGAAAAACGTTTCCCCCACCAAAATTTGTACACCCAGGACATGTAACTCCAAAGTCAGATTTTTTCTGAAGTCTGCATCCCAAAAGGTACATGTGTACCAATTTTCAGATTTCTAACCTTTATAGAACATGATTAGAATTAGCGTCAGTCAGACAGTCAGTCACGATCGTCTATATTTACTAGTATTAGATACAGGATGAAACCCATCCCTGGTGTGTTTCCTTGTAGAATTGCAATCTGGTGGGCGTTACAGCGTTCGCCAACTTCCACCTCGAGGACGCAAAATATTCCCTATGTTACGTTTAAATACGGACACCCTGTATAAATAGATCTGGCATTCCCATAGGTACTATGGGGGAATGCCAGATATAGAGGTCGGTTTCTCACTTTTTTTTCTCTGTTTTTATCCAATTTCTGCAGTAACAATAGCCACCGGACAACATGACCCAATGCGCACTCGCAGCTTTCCGCCTTTGTCTGGGAGCCCGTCTTCCACGAAAGCATCTATTTCCCTTCCGGCCCTGGCGGTTAACGAATCCATATTAGACAATGGAGGAGAGCAATTACTCCTGGCAGCGTAGACAGGGTTACTAGGCGCACGCGGGAAATGCGGTATCTGACATCCTACACTTCATACCGTCCTCCCATCTCCACACCACGCGGACGCGCGGACCATCGAGAGCATGTCTAGTTGTCTAGGCCTTTTCAAATAGGCCCTCGCCGAACCAATAACAGCTATGATTTATTTCAGGGTTGGATGGCTAGGATGCGTTGAATATATAATAATAACAGTGGTACAGGGGCCAGTGGAATGCCAGATCTGAACCTGGGCTGGTACTCTCTAGTTCATTTTTCCATGCATCTAATAGTTTTCCACAATAAAAGCCTCCATTATTGCTCAGGCTGTACCGATGGCCACAATTGTCCTATGGGCTGATGGTCGATTATGATATCATACCGATCGGCCGTTGCAGGTGTCCATTGGAGAAACAATGAAGTCAGTTTCATCGATTTCTTCTTAATTTTCAAATAGATCTATTTGGATGCTTCGTTCAAGTGGATTATGCCTGTTGCGTTGGGTGCTTCGAAGTCATCCATGCGTTGGCTTGATATGTCGCTATTGCATTGATGCATCCGTTGGTGAGGGTGAGGGTTCAGACGGATTCCGTCTTTTCTCAACTTTTCCCCCATCAGGGAAAGCTTTCACCTCCCTCGTGTCTTCCGTCGATTGGAGTGCAGACCTCCATCCATGTATATGATTGGGACCGTGGCGTGACCTTCGCATACCTGCCATACCTGCCATTGCCTGCCATACCTCCAACAACCGAAAACGCCATTCTTTCATTGATGGATGCATCGGGACAGCCGTAAATATTTCCAATTGCCATTGAGAATCAATTATCAACTCCGGTTTACCAAAGCTAAAATTTAATTTTTCTTCGTTTTGTGCGTTCTTCGTTCGACATCGGAAGCCTGTTCCGGCCGGTGACCAATGGCACCAATGGTGGCATAACACCGGACGATGTTGGTGGTTCCTGATACATCGGTACAGCCCTAATTAGTATATGATTACTATTAAATCACAATCACAATGACTTGTCAAAGACATTAGTGTGAACATCAAGGAGTTAATGTATCCTTAATGTAACGTATTGAGGGTCGCGTGGCCAAATCACCAAAGATTTCAATTGGCAATTTGGCATGCATTTAAAGCAACCTATCCATGGATATTTGACTGAATTGGGGGCAGCACCTGAAAGAGAAACCCAGAAAATCGTCATAAACGAATGCACCGTTTAATATCCGTGGAAATCAACGTATTATCAGAAACGCGGAGCCTTTCTGCTATTAAAATTTGTGTTCTAATTGGGAAAGCCCAAAAGTCTGTACAGTAATTTGCAAGGAGGATCTACGTTTTCTTGAATGTGACGTGTCAAAGATCCCCGTCCGGAATGGGGCATCAGCGATCGATATAATCTCTGCGACCGTTCGTGCCCTGCTGAAAGAAAACATATGGACTGGCATCCTCATGGTACTCTACGTACGATTCATCGTGCCGGGAACCGTGTGCTTATCTGTGAACTTCGTTCAGCGGAGCGCGAAAAGATTAGATACGAGGTAATTTTTTCCCTCGTTGATTATACTGACAGCATCCGCCCCTCCCCAATATATCAAATTAAATTAAACTATATAGCACAACTCTGCACGGAAGGATACAAACACTTGCACTGTTCATCAAAACATTCGTATTCACAGAAGACTGCTAAATAAATGTTGCTTAATGGGACAGCATTAAAAAATACAGTATATCACAGACGCATGAAAGTGGCTACTGACAAGCCTCATCAAATCGTGTACTGCTACCTGTTACGATTATGGTACAATGCCCATGGTTACAAAAATATTGATATTTCCTTATATTATAAAGCTTATTGACCTTTTATTGGTTCATTACGTCAATACTTGGCAATCCCATTGGTAAATTTTTATTGCAATGTATTTACATTTTATAATTACATTGATGTGTCGTTCATCCGATTGTTCTTTGACAGTTTCCTGAAGCCTTAGATATTTCGGAGGCATTCTACTCTTCGACGTAAACTAATATTGCATGTGCATTTCCCTTTATTTCCTAATCTTCACTTTCATACCAGTTAGGGAGAGGGGCGTCTTGGGGTCGTCTCCGTTCACGAAGTATGCGACGACCGCGCCTAGCAGCATAACGAGGGCGTTCCGCGCCGTGCAGATGAACCAGACAGCCTTGCTCGCCACTGATAGGATTGCCTTGTTTCTGATCACCTTCGACAAGTCCCATGTTCTTGCTTTCTGAAAAAAATTTCATGTTTTCTTATTGTTGGTTATTTATATCCTCGGCGATGGAAAGCAATCCTGTATTCGGAATTGAATATTTGTTTACGTGCGCATGACCACGTTAGATCTTCGTCGAATGTACAAGGATCGTTCATTTAATTCGCGATATGTTGCTGGTATTCGCCCAACATGACTGGGTTGGCAACCCTACAGGGACGAATGATGGAATAGAGAGTATACATTAAAAAGCTGCTTGTACGAGGTGATCGACTTCAAGTCAAGCACTGAACGAGCCGCGACATGTTCTCTGTTATTGTGGTCGGCGTGGTTTGAGTGCATCAGCAACACTTGCAGAAATGAAGAGTAAGAATTTCATGAAAGAACAATGGTGTTCAAGCGGCGTAGTTTTTCGGAAGGGCGGAGCTCTGACGACACACGTCATGCATAGCCTTCGATATCGACATCACCCAATACAAGAGAAATCAATGAATCTCATTACGGGAACTGGCAAGACTACCAGTCAATCTCACTAGGTAGTACCAATACTATAATGAGGTTATATTTCATATTCATTGTCTATTTGTTCGTAGCGATGGGAGAAATTGTGAGATTGTCAACGAGAATTCATGTAGAATTTTAGGGTTTAACATAACGTGATGAAGTACTAGAGTATAAGTGTTGGCAGCTTAGTCGCATCCGTCACGAAACTGTACCGAGTGAGATTTAATAATAAAAGGGAAAAAAAATATCTACAAATACAGTGTATATCAAACGTCGTGAAAGCAAATACTAGTATAACCATAGAAAAAATTGTTCGTTTTTGCCTAAAAATATTGTACTTCGCAGAATTGACACGGCATTTTTCTCATTGAATAATCCTATGTTAATTGTCAGAGTTATTGTCAGAGAAAACTCATCGTCGTAGCTGATTTAAATAATCATCCATATAGCATATGTATCAGATTTTTTGTCTCTATCGAGGGCAGGGAGACCTTTAAAGAATACGGTTACTTGGGGGGATTTGGCCATTCGGGTAATATGGCCCTTCACAAGGAAACCCCTTATAGAATGAGTAATTTGTTTGTACGAATTTAAAAAATAGTTCTATCGAAGAGTAAATACAATTGACGAAATATTTAGAACTGTTCCTCGTCAAATTCTCACAGGAATTCGGGATACATCGATTTCTTGAAAGTCATATGCATGCCATTCTTTTGATTCATGACCCTGAAAATAATATGAGTCTTGAGCAACTTAAGCGCATATTTCCTAATATAAGCATGGATACAGCAACCATTTCTACTAAGTTCTTCTGTGGTCTCTCCAGAATGCTTGTGGAGAGTGCTAGTCGCTTGCGGTTCGTAGGCAATGTTGTCAACTTTGTAATGCGAGCCATTGTGTGGGGAAAATGGCCATTTCGTTTTGGGGTAATATTGACACATCCTTCATTTCATGTTAGCACCGCACTGACCTATTGATAGTATCAGTTTCCTTTCGTGTGGTAAAAAAGTTCTCAAAAGTTCATCCAATGCATTTCCTCTGGATAAATGGATAGACTGGACTGGACTAGTACTGGACATCTGGACGAAATATGAAGTACATGAGGAGGTCTTGCATGATGATACGCTCATGCACCTACTTCTGCATTGCTTGACATTCTTCACAAATTATTGTTGCACGACACTTGAATGCAACCTCCCCCGAACAGATGGGACATTCTGTGATGCTTCATCACTCCTCTTACACGCACAGTCTCTAGATATTGTCTCTCAATCACGTACAATGTTTCTCAAAAGCAAAAAAAGTTGCAATCCATCTTTCCACAACGGTTCCTCGAGTCAGGCAATGATGTCGACTTCTTTGTTTGTCCTCGGTGCAGTTAGAGTTTCTCTTTCAACTGTTGAGAGTCATTTATCATGTTTCAAGGTACTCAGCATGTTACAGCATGTTTCACACGACCCTGGACAACCTGGAATTGTTTTTTCAGAAGTGGCCATATTTCTGCAACTATAGGGTTAATATGGCCTCTTGAGACCTATTCGAAAAAGACCCAAAAGCGCTATGAACATGTTTTTTTTGCATACGCTTTGCTGGCATTTAGCAAAGGAGAAATCAATCAATATTTTAGAAACATCGTAAATGTCAAATTCAAACTTGATGGGCCGTGATGACCAGGTATCGTTTGAGGGCCATATTCCCACAAATTGCCCTAATGCATTTCGGAAGTTTAACAACCACCAATAAGGTGGCATTCTTCTTATTTTATGAGCCAAGAATTCATGCCCTTAGTATGATATTTCCCTCAAATAAAGGAGTGTTGAAGCAAACATTTTTCAAATTGCAAATGTAAGAAAAGTGGTACTTGAAATACTATTTTCGTCATAAAACGCGTAAGGCCTCAGATGCAAGGAATTGAGGTGCAAAACCTCGCTACTCAATAAAGCGAGTAAGACCTTAACAGGGTCAACTAGCTTGCGCATAAGTTAAAAAAATTACTATTCTTAGTTGAAGTTTTCTTCACATATACTCCATATTGAACAACGTTCCATATCCTGTTAGCTTTACTTTGTCAGACTGTAATTGCATTTTGATTGGAAACATATTTCAAAATGAGGAAGAGGCTGTGTAGAACACAAATTTCGCCTCTTGCTACAGTTCTCACCCGAAGAAAAAGGAGAAGACAAATGGAGACGAAGGCCGTGAGAAGATCCCACATGTTGGTTTCGTTGAAATGGTAGGCGACTTCTCGAACGACCTTCATGAGGTTGTGAGAGTGGATCAAAGAGGAAAGGCCGAACAGTCCCGTGATCTGAGTGCTGGAGATGGCGATTGCAGCCGCTGATGTGAAACCCGACATCACCGGTGTCGAGATGAAATTCATCAAAAAACCTGCACAACAATTTTAGAATGCGATTGCCTAGTTCAGTACTGAAGAGGAAAACGATAAAACCTCATATAAAGGATGTTACGAACGCTTCTGACCCATTAACATAAAACCAGGGTGAGACTAACAGAAATGTGTTTAATTATTTGCATTATACAGAGTCAGCCCATTGCACCCCCCAAACCATCATGCTGATCAATATTTGGTATCGGCTTCCGCCAACTTCGAGGGACATCGGATAAGTGTATTTGATCGTTCAACCAACCCGACGAATGACATTTGTCAGGTTGGTTTCTCACTTCTTTTGAAACCATTACGTTATTGACACCCGATTTATGGCGTTGGGCTGATGTAGAACACTCTGCTAGGACCTGGGGTACAGGAGTTCGGAGTTTTCATGTCTGGACGGTTTCATTTGCACTTATGGAATGATCCTAAAGGAATCTTTTAATATTTTATACTTCAAAAATCTTATGGGATCCTATGGGATCTTTTCGTAATGGGTAATAATTTTCTCCGGAATATGCCCTTAATAAGATGACGTGAAGTGGGACTCCCATAACCTCCCTTAATAGATATTGATAGAAAATTCGGGTTCCGTTCATGAAGCGAAACACATTAGGTCCTAATAATATAGAAGTAAATAGCGAACTGCTTCAACTCCATACAGGCTGTCCCTGGATTAACATTACTCTTATCTCTCTGTTGTCAACAAAAATAAACACTTGACATAGACTGAGAGTGACTTTCCTTTCTTCTTCCCAAGAGTATATTCTGGGATATAGAAAGCACATCTTCGCATAATTTCCCACTTCATCTGTGCTTCATTTTTATACTGTTATCATGACCCCATACATATAGTGAAAGCATTAACGGTCGGCGAAGGATTCTTACTTTTGACTTTGGGCTGCGAAAACTCCCCAACTATGCATGTTATCTGAAGCTCAATACCCTTTTGGGGTTGCAATGCTTCTTCTCTTTTATACACAAAAGACACAAAGACTTTTAGACACAAGTTGTATGCCAATTGATTCTATATATCCTGAGTAATAACGTACTAAATGAAGCTTTTCCATATGGACATTTCCGTATTTTTTTTAGTTTTTAATTATTGTCACTAATATACGAGGTCTGACAATAAAATAACGAGACTGACAACACTGTAATGCGTGTGTGGCAACACTGGGACGTCGGACGTCCAGGTCGTCTGTCAAACTCAACTTCTTCCCTTCCTTCAGAAAAGCGTTTGCAGCATTCGAAGACATTTTACTCTGGACATAACCTCATCTCCGTACACTTGTTTCAATATTTCAAATACTTCAGTTGGCTTTTTTACCGAGTTTGATTAGAAATTCTTTGTTCATGATATCACCCATTTTTTATGAGTACTCCTAACACTACCTTAGGTAAAGTGGTACTGCTCTACAATCACTGGAAGTATCGCGAAAAGTTTGTTACTGCAGAGACTTAAGACATGCACTGACAGGTTACAGTAATCACCAGTAACCCAGTGTTGCCAAAGGCATTGCAGTGTTGTCAGTCTCTTTATTTTATTTTCAGATCTCGTGTTCCACTCAGTTCAGTTTCTGTTAGCTTTTAGCCTTGCCGTAATTCTCCCGGGCATGGTATCATTGGGTCTGACACATTCCGTTCAGTGAATGATATCTCATTTGACTTTTCCTTTTCCTTGACCTCCTTTGATATATGGAGGACGATAGCTCCCTGATTTTTTTTCCTTATGGGGAAGGATTTTGCAAAAGACCATCAAATGTATGAATACATTTGTCCAATAGTTCCTCCCATTAGGTTTGATTCAGGCGCTGTTAGTACTCTTCTAAGAACTTAGCTCTTAGATCCATGTTTCCGGTCCATAATGCGCAAAAAAAACACTCGTTCCAAATGAAGCACCCAATGTTTTTCTAAAATCAACTACGTCATAATTGAATGAGCTGTAACCTTGCATAAGAGAACGAGAACGTCATCTAGCAAACATATCAATGTTAAATTTACCTGTCTTCACGTCCAAGTTGCTAATGAATTCGGATATATCGTCGAAACCTCCCAAAGTATTACGTACTGAATCCGATTGACTGTTCTGCAATTAAATTAACCTGAACCTAATCGTGAAGGTGTAAGTTATCCATGTCCCCTAGAAAACTCATAATCAATGTATTTTCTCATTTTCTGGTTCAACATGAGCAATTTCAATTTAGTTTCCTCATATTTTTCTTGCAGTCTGACCAGCTGAGAGCGATTTTCATAGTTGCATTTAGGTAACAAATCAATAAACTTGCGCCATGAAATATCTTCCTCGCTCCTTGAGCCAATAAAAATGGATTCAATGCACTCGGACGAAAATACTGGATATCCGTTTACCAAGTCTGGTTATTCCGAGTAGGACTTCGACGACGCCAGTGAGAAAGCAGAGTAGGACGGCATACTCCACGAATTGGTCCCCAAACGTCTCAAAATTCACGAAATGCCCCATCACGACGCAGATGACTGATGTAGGTCCGACCGTGACATCTTTCACGCTCCCCACGAAAAGGTACACGAAGCATCCCATGAATCCAGAGTACAGACCATACTGTGTAGAAAAAAAGCAAACGATGCACGTAAATTCCTTGCAGACCTCGTTCATTCATTCCTTTCTTTTCACTATACGCATTATTAATGGTTGAAGCCGCTGCTACGTGAGGTCGTATCAAACATCCAGACGTAAAACGTCAAGTTACCTCAAGTACTTCAAATAATCACTAAAGCTATTCCACCTTCAAGATAAATGCCATAAATTACAAGAATACACGTTTTCTTTTAAATAGTTAGATACAAAGCACAAAATACTGGGACACCTCGAGAATGGCCCATAACATACAGATCGAAAAACATTATTTGACCTTGATAAGTAATTCGTTAATAGAATTGCTGACGCAATTGCCATGAATGCAAACATTTCTCTTGACGATTTTTTAAGCTAATATTTTATACTTTAAACTCGTTCACATTCGAGAAAATCTTAATGAGGTCCTCATGAGTTCTTCTAACTTAAGTCTCACATGATCGTTCATAAGGTCTCCCAACTTCTCAAAGAAACTCATGAGAATCATAAAATGTCTCGCAAGAATCTCTTGAGATACCATAGGATTCTCATTATCATCATGATGTCGTTTTAAAAAAAAACCACGAGAAACCTAAAAAACATCATGAGGAATTCGGCAGATCTCATGAAAAAGCCATGAGTGTTTAATAATATTTTCTTCAGCAATATTATTTTTGAGGTGAATGAAGTAATCCTTTCTTCTTTGTTGGAGTCCCTCAAAATATTTATTACGCATTTTTTCATGGCCTTGCTTTCAGAAATTGGCTCATCAAACTATGGAAATAATTATTTTAAAGTAGAAGTTTCCAGGAAAAAAGAAAAAATAACGAGATGGATCAAGAGTAAGAAAAGCTATAACATGAACAAAATGCTAGAGCTTGACTCAAGGATCATTTCCTGCCTAGATCGCTTTGAACTGACTTGCCAAACTGAACTGAAATTAATCTTGAAGCGTCGATAACCTGGAAGTTGTCAGGCCATAGAATAGTGAGAGATTGTTGTATGTTTCTGTCTGAGCAGGGATGATAGTAAAATGTTCCTATGGGATTTCATCGTTCTTGCGCATGTCCTCTCATCGTCCTCTCAGTGTCTTGGCTTTTCGCGTGTGCGTTTGACTTGGTGTATTCGGCTGTTCGATGCAAGCTAAGCTCTCAACGTGATTGCATTGTCCGAGTGTATGTATTTTAGCTTTGAAATACGGAATATTACTTGGGTTATGATCCTAAAGATGCAACGTATGGGATGAAGACACCTTATCCTATTTAAAATGTCTTCCATGGGCAATTTTCCGAAACAGATTCCAATGATTTTGCCAACCTCCTACTTTCCATTCCTCTGGCTCAACATGTTGTCAGAGACTTTTCTTGTGAGCCGTGATGCTTCTGGCGCCAGGAGCCTGACGTACTGAATCTTCATTCTTCATCTTCTGGCATCAAACTCAATTCCCTCGTTGTGACTCCCTGTAACTACACGGGATTCCAAAATCCAAGGAACAAATAGATTTTCCGAAGTTCCGCAACACCCCCTCATGAAAATGGTCGAAATACTGTATACAGGATCATACAAATTAACGTTTCTACGTTGCCATAGCACATGCAACCTGGTGGAGATCGCCCGCTGATGTAAAAATCGCATGTCTTTAAGAGACGGCGCTCTGAGGGGGTAGTGCATTTCACGTTTGGGTGGCAAGCAGTTAATTACAAGGTAGCAGAACCCTGAAAACTACTTAAGGAAACCATCTAACACAGCCACTGAGATTGCGCGCACTTGTGCCTTCCGGATCACAATCTTTGCGGGGCTCACGGTGTTTCCCGTATCACGGATTTTCAATGGGTTCAATAAGTTTTGGAAAAACGTATATCAGCTTAACAACCTACTCCTAATTTCGTCACAATGCTATCAATTCAAGTTGTCAGGTCAGTTTCAAACATTTTAGTGGATATTATTCCACAACACTAATTCTTTAATTTCCGGATTTTACCTAATCCTGTATACTAAATGGAAGTGAAAATTTTGGCTACATCCAGTCAGCGGAGAAATATGATCAGAAAACACGGTCGAAACTTCACTTGGACAGGGAGATTGGCGATAGCAGCGTAGGCAAGGCTTTGTGGGAGTAGGGTGAGTCCGACAGTCAAGCCTGCAATGAGGTCGCACACCAGATATTTAAGGTTGTATCGTGGAAGCCATTTCGTAATGGGGACTTTCCTCTGGATCGCCTTCCTCGTCCCACGACGGCTTGGAGGGCAGGGACAGCTAGGACGAGTGTCATTCGAATAGTCCTTCACCAACCTGCTACCCGTAGCAGCCCGGTCCAGAATATCTGCAGAGATTCATAAGGTCATATTCATGCTCTGAAAAAATCTTATCCGCAATAAGTCAAAGGCTTAATATGTAGTGGTGAGAACGAGGATTAAGTGGAATTTCCCCTAAAAAAGTAGGTGTTATGTTTACATTTTATAGTTAGGGAGATATCTGGGGGGAACAGTAAAGATGAGAGTCAATATCAATTGACGCTCAGATTATTGGTCAGGCAACGGTCAGAAGTTCAAACAAGATCATACCATTTTTGCGGGCGAGGTGATTCTGAAACTGCAATATTTAACTAAAATTTCCAATGCGGTTTCAGTCGAAAGTGAATCAAACATTTTGGTAGCTTGGGTTTGACCATAGAGGGAAGAATTCAATACTTAACGCACCTATAACGTCTGAGTCATTTTATGCTGAATATAATTATAAAACGAAGAATAACACGACACATGTTTTAAATTTGAAATTTTACTTGGTGTAGCGAAAGACTTGTGAAACTGTTCAATGCGCCAGGAATTGTATCTAGGCAAAAACTAGATGACATGTGCATTTCATGAAAATAATTTCATTTGGCATGTTTCTTGAATCATGCAGTTTCTTGCAAAATGCCCGGAACAGAAAATCCCATTTCGAGATTTCTTATGAAATTAAGGTTATGGTTCCTCCAAGTTATGGTCATTCCAAAATAGTTCAGATTCCTTTCTTGAAGAAACGATCGCCCATCGCGAGTGTTGACATAGTATTAGACAAAGGACTGCTGAAAAATGTATCACAAAAAAAACCTTTACGGAAAGATCCTATAGGACTCTCATAGGAGTCACTTCTCTGGGACTTCAAGGCCGGCTTACTTAGTGACACACCAGTGCACAAAGCACACACGCATTTAATGTACGTCCCCAAAGAAATACGTGACATATAGGGACGAAAGTCTTGATTTTTATCAAAATCATTACTTCTATGATTCTATGTGTGCATAACTTGGAAATCTTTTCTTTTGTCCCTTTTGGTCATGGTGGAAAATAAATTTTGAAACGCTTCCCTCCTATAATCTACGCTAAGAAGACATATTTCAAAAGTAGGATTTGTCTTATACTCATCCATCAAGCAGGTACTTCTGAGGGAAGTTAAAATTTTCTGTCTCTTTTCGCTGGATAAAAAAAAAATCAGGAATGTGGGACTAAAAAAAAGAGGCCTGATGGGTTTTAACGAAATTTTTTTCTTTTGAAATGTAGACTCAGGAATCTCCATACCACCCAATTTCAGCCTCACACATTCCCCCTTTTAGCTGGAGGAAAAAATGTATTTGGAAAAGCAACCCACCCAAAAGCTCATGGAAAATGGCACATTGCAGACTTTAATGGGATCCCCACGTGGGAGCCGGATTTCTTTCACAGTGCAAAAGACTCCGAGGAGACCGATGGGCTTGACTCGCTAGCGGTTACCAGAATTGCGAAGGACAAGCCACCCATGGGCATGGTGATTAAGTGGGAGCAGGGTACGGATGATCATATACTGTATTAAGTGTTCTAGGGATCCAAAGCAATGGAAGCGGAATGATGTCTTTCATGCAATGCAATGGTCCTTCGTATTCAAGGTGAGTTTAACTTAGCCTAGGTCCAGGCCAGTGCTTAGAAATCTGAATGGTTCTTTTCAAGGGCATATTATTATTCTAGATAAGAAGTGGCACCTGGAGATGAAAATGAGGGTAGTACTAGAAAGGGATAAGGAGGAGTATGAAACGCGGGGAAGGAACTAAATTCTTGCACTACGGTCAGAATATTCCTCTTCCTGTGAGAATGAGCCAAAGGAGATGCACTAATCTAAAAAGGTGCTATGGTTCCTTCATTATCAGAATGGATTGTCATAGGCCCAATATTTAGTTAGGTGCTCATTGTAGGCTCTCCTCTCTTTGATCTCAGTAATATGCTGTGAGATGGTGGGAGGAAAGGGGAAGAAAAAGGCTGTATCTTGGTGTAAATTTATTATGAAAACAGGGCGTGTGTCTTTCTTAGATTTTGAAACATTGTTACTGGATAGGCTTCGGTTTGAAAGCTTTCATTATTATTTTCCCCTCTATTCAGCCCAATAGCTTTATTCCCAGGTTATGAGGCAAACTCAGGAACAATATTCACCCGCACCTGTTGACTTTTGCCAAGTTCAACTAGATTGAGGAATATAACCCCAAGACAAAGAGTGCCTATAATTTCTTTCTGTCATGAAAATGAGAGTAAAATCATACCAGACGAATAGTGAGAGCTGTGCCCAGCGATGACGGTCCCATTCCCACTCTCTCGAGTCTGAGGAATCGAGCCGAGCTGTGACTCAATTTTTGCATGATCCATGGCGAGAATGCACCAGTCTCTTCGATAAACAGCAGACAAGTCTCTGAGAATCACAAATCGCTGTAACAGGATCCGTCTCACAGGATCCACAGGGCGTCTACTGCGTGGTTGAAACTAAATGCGAAAGGGTAGACCAAGGCTGAGGTTCCATTTGGAAAGTGAATCATACCTCGGCCACGTGGATCTGACCTTTTCATATCGATTTCGTGATCCATTTCCACATCCATTCTAAATGCAGGTCATTTCTGTTGGCAACAACATCTATACAGCCCTATTTCATCCCCAAATGTGACGGGTGTTTAATGATTCCCAGAATTCTCGAGGAAATTTCCACATACTATATATGTCCACAAATCGTCCACATTTGCGAGGAAAAGGTTATATCCTAAAAACGTGATGAAATCGGATGAAATCCAGTTACGAACTCATGACATTTACGACGTCCGGGGTGAACACTCTTTTACGGATTTCATGAATGTCTTCCTTCCCTTTGGAGCGAGACATATCTGTACCGTTAAGATAGGACCTCCTGTCGTCTCTCCTCATGCCCTCTAGATATTCTACCTGCTTACGCATAACTGGGACATTTCTCTCAGCAGGGACCATGCCATTTTGGCCATTCTTTCAATCCAACTAAATTATTTGAACTTATTGGCAATTACTTGTGGCAAGGAAGTCGATTACTTGATAATAATAAATGTAATGTGTGATACACGAAATTAGCACGAGAATTCAGTGCTAATTCAGACGTAGCCCATGCCATGAATCGGCAACAGGGTTGAATATATTTTCCGTTATTGGATAGTTCGGTGTACCTCGGAAATTATAAAAATCGACTAAATTATTGATATCCTCCGAGTTTTGCTCTCAACCCAATACCAGGGAGGGTAGACAGGCATCTTCCTCCACAGAGCTAATTGAAATGATCGTCGATAGAATATAGGTCAATATACCCAACGCCTATTTAGATCTATAAACACGCCTGTTGCAACATGAAGAGCTCTACTGGCTATGTTGATGTGTGACATGTCCACATAACCCGTGGATATCCAGATAGGTTTTTCATTGATATGCAAGCGACAAGAGTCCATTTTCAATGCACCCCGAGAGAGCGAATGCGGGAACGACGGATTCCGGCTCGTGTCGTCCAGGAACTCATGATGGAGATGTCGATACCGTTAAGAATAATATGCCGTTCCACGAAAGAGCTGAGTGATGTGCTATCCCCTCCTTGGATGGGGAAATCCAAGGGGAAGGATCCTGGGCTCCTTCAGAGGCGGAACAGCGCAACGCCCTCCTTCCGTCTTTTTCCATCTCCATCGATGGCCTCATGCCCTTCACACGCCTCCTGGATTTTTCATCATGGATGGCAACAGAGACTGATATAATGCTATGAAATAGCAGGAAGACGAGAATCAATAAAGCAAATGGAAAATTCCCCTGTTTGAGGCTCTGGGTTTATTCCCATATGGATCCTCTTTCTCAAGATATATCCATATTCGCATTGATGCATGTAGCGTTTCCGATAGTGGTATGGTATGATTTTCAATGTTTGATGTTCAAAGTATGATGGTCAATGTTTCAATGACAGCACACAGGAGGTGCTGTCATTGAAACTTCTGTCAATGTATTGCATACGAACCCTGCGCTGTTGCATTGCCATACTCTGAGATCGGGATGGGGACGTTATTTCTCCACGTCATTCATTATCGGAGTCGGAAGTTGAGATGTCTGGGGAGGACGTTAGATTCGAGGAGGACTCAACCTAGGAGGAAGGGTCTTCCCAGAGACAATCGTCTTCAGTTCCATCGAGTGAATTCGATGTTCCACGCGTTTTGAAATTCTTTCTCACTGTTTCAGGATCTGCCATATTCCACGTTCGATGAATAGACTCGCATAGCTGTGGGAGAGTCGGCTTTCTCTGTTTCCCCGCTGGAGTCACATTGGCAATATTCTCCATTCGAAATTCATTTAGCAATTGACGTTAGTGCACTTTGAAAGGGCGATTCAAGCTCACATCGAGTGGTTGGAGAACGCTTGTTTGGCCTCCTGGGACTTCCACCGTCTCTGTCCTTCCCTCTCGCAACTTTTTCTTTCGTTTCCGTGGTATGCCCATAGAAGCCGTCATGGACAAGGAGGCTTCGCAATTCACCTCGAACGAGAATGGCTCCTGGGCGATTCTCCCAAACAGTTCCCATCCAGTCAAGCATGAGACTTTCAGTCATCTAGCCTCTCGGCTGACAACGGACGTGAACCTCCTCTAGGAAAGTTTATGCGAACCGGGAGAGATTTCCGCTTGAAAATGACGAGGGGAGGAGGCTTCATACCATCAACAAGACAACCAAACATCACAATGCAACTCTCCTCCTCTCCCGCCCGCTCGTTTTAATGCAGACTTCTCTCATTCCCTTGTTCACGGTTCGATCATATTGCATCAGACCACGGTCTCATCGGCATTCCCGATTTGAGACATGAGATGCTGATAGTGCTTCCTCGTACGGATGATGCTTCTTTGGGATTCTAAGATCTTCTCCGTGTCTCTTGGAAAATTTTTGCGCCACCGAAGTTTTTCGGCGAAGGGAAAATCCAGCCTGTTTCATGAAT